AAAAAAGCATGAGGGCTGGGATACTGTCAGGTCGCCCAAACCTAGACAGAAGTTGAGATGCAGAGGCCGGGTTCGAACCACGGACCTTCTGGTCAGTAAATTAGCGCACTAGCCACTGAGCCATCTCGCCCCGATATATATATACATATATATATATATATATATATATATTCTCAATGAGGAACATGACGACGATCCCCTTTGAACTTTCAATTCGGAGGCATGTCTAACTACAAGGGGTAAGCATTGAGTTCATCACATTGGATGCGGATTATGACATCCAGTCATTCGCACACCGGAAGGGTCAAGTAACCAAGCGCTACCGGCATCAATGTTCTGTTACGCAACTCGCTATTGGTCTACAACGGTAAATCCGATCTGAGCTGTACATGATTTAGGTATATATTTTACGGAGACATTAAATGAAAGACGCTGTGGATTACTCTTTTTCCGACAACAGGGTCGTCCGAACAGCTTAACATTAGTTGAACAAAATTCCATAACGTCCTTTTAGTAGTGGGAAACATTAGCACTTCGCTTACGTGCAACACGAGCATTTCTTCTGAAACAACCATAAGTTGGATTTCTCGCTGAGAGGAATAAGTCGATTCCAAGAGGCAAGATAAGTAACATGGTCGGAACCACCACAAAGAAACATGATTTATACATGAGTGACGTCACCAGCGCCGTATGCACATGGTTTGAGGATACACCTCTGAATTTGCAAAACCAATGTAGATTACAAGGTAGGTGTGTGCAGAGCAGAACCGTCAAAAAGGCCGTTGGACCTTAGATTGGTCTCACCTGCCAATTAAGTTCAAGTACACTCCTCCAGTCATATTTATTTTTCGAGTACCTTGCCTCCAAAGCTAACTAAAAATAAATAGTAAGGTGAATCCATGTTCATAATTCATAAACTCCGAAAGCGGTGCTGTTAATCAGACTTTGTAGAGCTCAACATTTTGCCTATCAATTCAATGTTGAACAGATGGGAAAAGTCCCCATTCGGAGGGAGAAAAGCTAGGTGACAACTAAAATTCATTCTTTCAAGGGCGAAAGTTGTTGAAAACCAATTCACTACAAAACCAGATGTAACCATCATGTTCTACGGTATCAAAGAGTAGGGAAAACACCCGGATATACGTACACATCACCACTGAAAGGAAGAAGGCCTTCACTGCAGAAAACACCAACTGAACTGTTACACACTATTGAACAGGAAAGCAAGACCCATATGCATCTTGTTTATAAAAACTGAACATCCGTCTTCTTAAATGCGTCTTCTTGAACTTTCCTAGGTATTCGTTGACTATCACTCAGATGTAGACGAATGCTACAATGCAATACCACAGATCCCGCGGTAAATCTCACTTTCCAATAGACGCAAAGCGGAGCTACGAGAAAACATATTACTCGTATGCCTCATCAGTAGTGCCCACCGTTAAACCACAATATGAACATTTTCATCTTCTTAAGCCAGCCGGGATAACGTGTAGAACGGAGAGCGCAAAAATTCATTATAGTGTGCGTAGCAAAACATGCCATAAAAGGCGTCTCTGGAAATCAAACAGTTTAAACAGCTGGACACCCCATACTAGGCTCACGGCACTTGATTACGACCACGACTACTTTATAACTGAAGGAGAGGCAGGCATCCACACCATATCGATCACACACCTTCACCAAGCTAAATATATCTCCATTACACGAATCAAGACATGGATGATCCCACTGGTGTAATTATCTTTCATTCCTATCTGGGACAGTTGAGGAGGGTCATGTGTTCGGACGCCACGCACAGAGGTTGAGTACATTAAAACACACTCTGTTGGCAAGCCGAGAAACAATTTTGGTTACGACCCGGAGGTAATTATAAACGGGAGTTTTTACAATAGCACACATATCACATGCGTAACACGCGTAGTAACAAGGCTGTATTAGAGACTGGATCGGTAAAGGAGGGGTCAAAGTACAGGAAGAAATGTGGATTAGAGATTCTGGCCCGTGGTGCAAACAACGCAACGGCAAAATAAATGACGGACAATCGTCGGTATGTACGATTTCAATGAACGCAGGGTACAGAAGGTGAACCGTCCAGCTGTAGCAACATTTCGGTGCCTAAATGCCATGCCATCCGAAGGAAGCACAAGGGCTGGGGTACTGCCAGGTTGCCCAAGCCTAACAGGAGAAGTCGAGAGGCATGGATCGGGTTCGAACCATGGACCTTCTGGTCAGCAAATTCGCGCTTTTACCACTGAGCCATCTCGTGCCCCTGAGCCGGCGAATAAATGCCCCGAAAATGCACGTCTCAGACGCTCCGCGTAACCTAAGCGAAGTTGAGTCTGTTGCTGCAGGTTGGTGCTCGGTTAGCCAGATGCACTCACCGAAATGAGTGAATCTAGCTTCAAACTGCGAGTATTCATCCCTCAGATGAATGCATTCATCCGGTTGTTGATATAGTAATATTGAGAACATTTCTAATATGAATCTCACATCAACAAGCCCGCTTCCCCGAAAGTGGCAGGATTCAGAAACACTATCATGCTTTCAACCTGGCTGGTCTTTGCGACATTTTTCGTCCGACCATCCAACTATTTGGACATCTTTCGCCAACCTCAAATTTCAGCTTATTTCTCACCCGAAAATATCGAAGTCAGCTTTTGGTGTAATGACCCCAACCTAATGAGCACGCTTCACTCGCAGATCTTGGTAGACCGGACGATTTTGGGTTTTTCGACCAGGGATCGTCATACTCCCCCTCTTGGTGAAGAAACTCAACTGGTCCGCAATTCTGGAGGGCTAGTTTGCATCATGCCAACTAAATACGCAAGCCTTCATTAAAACTCCTATGCAGTGTGAAACAGAGCAATCAACACGATCGATTCTGCTGTAATACCTGTGTACTGAGTGATGTGCGGCTCCGCGCTTATCTTCTAATCCATACGGCTAAGAAGCTTGCCACAGAGACCAACCAAACATCTACAAGTAGCTCAGAGGAAGAGAATAAATTCACATGACGAGTGAAGCTTTCATCTAGAAAGTTGTCATTCGAGAAGCCAGTCAATACGTGTGATCATGTGAAGCGGATCCCTCGATGTACATGTCCAAACTACTGGCAGGGACGTTGCCGATTCGAAACTCCCTGGAGTTTCGTGAGATGCGCCCTGCTAATGACTCCCAATGGAGATGAATCGGGCGTACAGCGCCTCTCGGCTTTTCAACATAGAGTGGTCTCACTTGGACGATGAAATCTCCATTGTAAGTTCGATTTAATCTGGAACACTTCGCAACTTGAAGGTAAGACATGGTTGAGCTCAAAGCAGGTTAAAATCCCTGGCGTCTTTAACCGATTAGTAATGTGGTTAGCGGAGGATGGTCGGTGGCGTTTCTTTTGCCTCGGGGTAATGGCGAAGAGATACGCTCGTGGTATGAATCTTCAAATAGAGCCGAGCGGCGCCGCGTTCAACCTATGTCCAGGAAGACACCCGATGAGCGAGGTTTTTTTGACAGGGGCAAAGTTGAGTCGAGATGACTGAGTACTTATAAGGAGTAGTGGAGACCATAAAACCGAGATTTAAAAAAAGGAGAAAATTTCACTCAATGGGTACCATTGTAGACACTTTTAGGATCAGTCAGAGACACAAAACATTTGATGAAGCACAAGCGGTTGGCATTAAAACCCGATTTCGCGAGATTATGAAGCGAAAAGTACTAGGGTAACCCCAAAACAGTTTGTGTTGTAACTGTTTTGAAACCTTAATTCGGTTGACACTGTTTATGACATCGAATACGAGGGCCAGTTTGGATGCTTTTGAGAGGTCAAGCTATTGCGGAGGGAGGAACTGCCTGGCATTTATGACTGATGTGCAGAGATAATGAACCGTATTAGAAACAGTCATTACGCGGGGGGGGGGGGGGGGGGCTGCGCTACGGCAGAACTACTTTATAAACAAGAGCACAATTTGCGAAATACATTCAGTCGCAAACTAACTTGGTGTTAATGGGAAATTTAACTGAGTCTCAGATGAAGCACTTGCTTCTGCTATTATGAAAATAAGAGTTTTGGAGATTCAGAGGCCAGACTTGTCTGATGATAAGTGAAACTGGCAGTAGGTCGCCGAAGAGTTTTCAGCAACCTTATAAGTGGTGTAATGCCCAGAAAAAAGCACTTATTGAGGTAGCATGCTTTCCTCAGAACTGTCTGAAGCATGTGAGTGGTCAAGGGTGTTGTCTCAGATCGATTCAACGCGAACGGGTGAATAGCTCATCTTCATCCGAGTGGTTAGAGCGCGAATTTACTGACCGGAAGATCCGTGGTTCGAACCCGACCTCTGCACCTCGACTTCTCTCTAGGCTTGGGCAACCTGGCAGTATCCCAGCCCTCGTGCCTCCTTCATGTGGCATGGCAGCTAGGTACCGAAAGTGTGCTACCGCTGAATAATAATTTTTTTATTTTTATCCCACAGCAGTAAGTGACAACGACTACACAAGCTAACTGCAACTACTGATGAGAACAACAAACTAGTAAGAATGTTGTATTTATTTTGGAAACCTAATCGGGCTCAAGAGTAGTGCGAAGCCGATCGGACGAATATTATTATAGAGCTTATACATAAAAACGGAGTGAAAAGTGTACCAGAATGTGCATACAGCAAGAAACAGACTTACTTGACTCGATGACGCAGGTCTTCCTGGCAAATACCATCTTCCTTCATCAGCTGTTCATACCAACGACCACCTATGAATCAAAAAGGGCAACCTGAGAATTTAGTTGGTAATATTAGCTAGAAGTTAGCCTATTGGACGATTTTTCTACTTTACAAAGGACACTGAAAGGGGCTGATAAAGGATGGACTCATCTTGCAGAACGACTAAAGTGTGACCCTCATTACACCTGGTAGGATATCACACCAGTGCTGAGTACGTCACAGTTATCGAAAAGGATGAAAAGTATTGAAAAGAGTACCAAATGAGTTACTGGATTAGATGATCAGAAAGAACTCAGAACCCTTGACTACGATTATGATGAAGCGCGAACCACAAAGCATTCGACTTACATTGGTTTTGTGGATAGGAGACTGCAAACCCGGGTAGAGGGAGAACAACGTCAGTCAAGGGGATGCTCTGACAATTCTCAGCCGTCACAACCAAGGGAACGGGAGTAGTCGCATTTGAAGATGTGTTTGAGTTAAGTTCCAGGCACAGCGCTTCATCCACTAGAAGGGCAATAAAAAAGCATAAGTAAGCACAATGAGTATTAGATGAGGTAACACTAAAATTCTTAGGTCGTGGGCTTAAGGACTTTTGTTTCCGAAGTGATGAAAAACAAACTTCTTATCCCTGGCGGGGCTTTCAGAACGACTGTGATGTTGAATCCCCTATATTTTTATTTTACGTTTTTTTACACCGAAATATTATTTAGGCCTCGTTGAACTGGTCCGCATCTGTTGTCTGTCCCAAGGTCATTACGGTGACCTACAGCCGAGATTTTCTAAAACCCTTGCATTTTTTGAGCCAAAATAAGAAGCTGACAGGAACGCGATGTTCTGCGGCAGAATGAAGAACACAGTTGACCGGATGTTATTGTTTGGAAAGGAATACACAGGATGACCGTAAATGCAGGCGGTGATTCCGACCAACATCCGTTCGCTGTAAGTACATATGTTAGCATTGTCTGTCTTGGAACCGGAAGAGTAATGATCGTGCGACTGTCATAGGGAAGCTGGTTGCATAGTGAGCTGAACAAAGATACCTGTTTAAACTTGACCGTCCTGTCGGGCTACGTAAGAAATGGTAATGTCATAACATTTGCGAACAGACAGTAGTGTTATTCGGCACAAGTTCTGTGTGAATTACGGTCGTCAAGACCAACAGGCTTTGAACAATACATCGGTAACAAGGCTGGAGGAGAATGGTGAGACAGCCTTGTCTTGCACCACTGGAGGTGATGAAATCAGGTGAAGGCCTGTTGTATACCTGTATGAACCCATGGGCGTTGGCATACCGTGAGGGGTGAAAAAATGGAGGTAACGCTTTCGATAATCAGGCACCGTCATAGCATTTCACGATCGATAGAGTCGAAGGCTGTCTTCAGATCAAAAGAGACGTTGAGAACGGCAACAGTGTTTGAGAACCTGTCTCAAGATAAAAATATGGCCGATGCACTCTCATCCGAGGGGAAAACTAGCTTGCTACTCATGACTTCGTCTCTCCCGGTAATCAACCTCGGATGCCACAACCAGCGGACTGATGCCCCAATGTTCTTGCGCTACTTCTGAACAATAAGATCACTGCTGAAAAGCTCCATTCAACAGATACGGTGGTTTCGTTCCATCCCTTTCGTAGTAAGGTAGTCAGAATGCATATCAGGGCTCCACCGACTTCTTTGAAAGGTGTAGGGTTCAAACAATTAGGAATAACTGCCTTGTCGTGGGAATATCTTGCACTGGACTTTCGCTGCTAATGGCGGGCTGGTGAGGATAATTCATTCAAGCTTGTTGGGCTCTTGGAGAGATTGTGTTGAAGGAAGTCAGCTGAATTGCTCATTAAGGAGCTGAACCCACCAACCAAGATAGCGATACCGCGAATGAATTGTCACTTCATGTTTTTTCCAAAGTCGTTTCGCTGACATCCATGTTCTCTTACTTAGCTGGCCAATTCAGCTGGAGTAGGATTCTGCTGATACCTTCAGTGAAAACCTTCCACATAACTTTGATCTCCATAATACATCAACGTTCACTGTCATCATCAGAAAAAGCAACATCAGTGTTGACACTGACGCCCCACTGCCTCACAACCGCAAAGTGTATCCAGTTATACTTAAAGCCCTAGAGTGAAAACAGAAAAGCGTAGCTGAGGGACAGGGCCTAGTGCTGACCTATCGCAAGCATTTTGAGGTGCCTTATCATCACCAGCTGTGAGAACTGCGTGCTTATCATACAGTTGTTATAGCTGACAGTTTCTTTCATTGATGATTTGGGGAGGTGGGGTAGATAGGTGCACACTGGAGGCCGTAGCTGATATAATTGATGAGTAAACACGGGGGTCTCAGCGAACCTTTCATTGGGGAGATTGGAATGGAAGCTGTGCATTGGAGGCCTACACCTCCAAACACTCAGACTATCAAGAAAGTCACTGACATCGACCAACCGCCAGCGCGGGAGGGATGATGGAACCCCCATCTTGGAAGATTGCGCTAAAAACACCCGAACCCTTCGTAATCTCACACACTTGTACCAAGTCATACGTTGTCCAGCTAGCGGTTCGCGCCACCCTAAAGCAGGCACAAAGAACACTCGTCTCGGTAACACATGGTAACATGCGTAACAAATGGCCGAGTCACCGTAGTTGCTGGATGTTCTGCACCTGCTATATAACCAAATACCCATTTTCTAATTAACTTGTTACGAATTCTTGGACACCATCTGAGAGCACCGACTCTTCTGCGGCATTAATGGTCACAAACTTGAAGAGGCCTCACATAATCTGACCGCAGAGTCCACGCTTCGCAACAATACAGCCCTTACTATAGCCTGGTACACACGACCCTCGATACCCAGTGACGAGTCTTTTTGATACCACAAGTGACGGAAATTAGAGAGCGCACATTGACTTCACTACACATTTCCGTCAGAGCTAATACAACCACCGAAATATGTAAAATTCTCCACAAACCCGTGCTCTTTGATTCGTAGACTGCGAATTCTGAAGTATGACTCTGCACTTTGAAGGTGAGAGTGCATGCCGAAGGATGATATGATTATGGTCAGTTCATTCAAAAGGGCATGTAATTCGCCTTCATCTTCATAGATCAGGGCTACGTCATTTGTGTCATTGAGAACAACAGAGTTCTCACCAGCAAAGATCTGAACAGCGGGGTTCTGAAAACCCTCGAAAGTCCGCCTCATTATTTCATCAATGACAAAGTTGAACAAGAATGGAGTGGACATGCTTATCGGACACCACCTCTTGTAGGGAACCTTGCCGCTAGCTCACCATACGCTCACATGCCAAAAAGCATGTAAATAAAGGGATCGGGGTACGTTCCACATCGTTCTTCAAACTCATAGTCATCCGGTGGTTGGGGAGAACTGCGTGTGCTATCGTTGGCTTTTCTGGTAGCCAAAAGATCTGCTAATCTCGAAGACACCCACTTTTCATTCAGCCGATGGTTTGAAAAGACTGTCCTAGAGGTTAGCGGTGTTGTTTACTTCCCCCTCTTCCATTCACCTTCCTCCCTGGTTATCAGCGTGGCTGTCTTCACTAGTATCTCGATATTGTTGGGCCCCTTGAGGCCGTTTGACGGAATTGCTGTGGTTCGGCATACGCAAGCCTGTGGGGAAGCGAACTGACAACTGATACCGGGAATGGAAAGCACTTTTACCACGATATACATGACCGTTGCATAAATCACAGACATTGAAAACTGTAACTTGGATAAGATCTTTCAAGTTTAGTAAGGGAAAGATTTTACGGTAGTTTAGATACAGAAGATTGGTCAGGGAATTGGCAGATGGCCTGAGAGTAGCGGACCGATTGGAGGGTGGGGAGTGTGGGTGAGGGCCGGTGAACGAAGAGCTGCAAGGGCGAATGATACTTTGCACCTGCTTAGGTCGAAAAGGGGGCTTTGTTTGAAGTACCTCACTATGAACCTCCAAACGCAACAAGTGCGTTTAAAGCCGTTGACGACTGGTCAATTGTCGACAGCATAGTATGCGGTGAGGTGCTTAAGGTGGTATTTCAATGGGAAACTCGCGAAGCACGTGGCCAACAAGAAACTTATTTTTATTGATACCCACGTTCGAACTCGGATGCAGGATTTGCAGATAATAGTCTCAAATTCCAGATAGGCATCATTCTCGGCTTTCACTATTTGTCCGTTTTTTGGGACGTTCGCCTGTCAGATTTATTCCACTGGAAAAACTAACAAGTGCAATACAAAGAACGATCAAATGAGTCCCTGTTAACAGGTTAGCTAAGCACATTTGAATCTTGCAGTGAACTGGCATCGGACGTACCTGCGTCTATTGGGAGTAATGAATCCGCAGCGTTCTGTATGTACAAATCACCCGGCTGGGCGTGTCCAGTATGGAACTGGTTTACTCGACGACTAGCTATCCGATTCCAGATCAGACTTTGGTAGCTGTGTACATAAAGTTGACGCAGGTTCCGAGGAAGCTAACAGGAGGGAGTAAGATAATCCATACGAAATGATAAATAATTCCATCGATACACGAATACCGTTCTCAAAGCTGATACAAGTAGTAGGCAGGACTAACATTTTGGTGTGCAATCATTATGATACAAAAGAAGCAGGTTGAAAACATTGAAGACTTTGATTGTTACCGTCATGATCAGAGAACGCGAGATGATAAATGGGATGCCATATAGAATTCTGCAAAAAATGGACGGTTGAATAAAAGTGATTTGTTTAAACAGTATTATCACTATGCACTTACACACTCCGCTCTGGCCCTGAAGAGTATTTTGGAATCTGAGTGTCAGCGTCACCACATTCCACTCGAAAGTGTCCCACAGCCAAGTTTGAAAACATTTTGTTAGCCTCTTGAGGTTTTCACCGAAATAGCGGGGTTATCGGACGCTTAATGAGGAATGTGGGGCTATTCATGTAGAATCCAGTGAAACTTCGGGGCAACATTACGGTGCTCGGTATGTTCCTTAAAACTTAATTGGGACCTTCGGAGCAATGAACCGAAAATTAAACGCTGCAGGCCAACAACTTGGTGAGGGGGCATAATCTCTGGTAGGGGTTCTGTGTTGGTTGATCCAAGTTGATTCTATGCTACATCTGGTGGGGAAGTAGTCTGCAGGGGCAGTGCGGTTCAACACTTCCTATGTTTTGGAGTGGTGAACAGGCGAGCGACCGCCACTAAACAACGACAGCCCAAAACCACAATAGCATGACAAAAATAATGATAGCCAGTGGTGCAAACATAACGTGACGAGCTATGGACTGCCGGATTGTTTAGAAAATTCTCCAGATCTGCCGCTAAACTAAATTAGGTTACTGATGAAAAAAACAACAGGGCTTATTTGGGCACTTGAGGGGAAGGATAAACTTTCAGTGTCTCTTGCAGACCGTCCGAAGAGAGAAAGACCAGTTGTAGGCCTACAACATTCACCTGTTAAATGGAGACATTAAGCAATAGCTAGATATGCTAACTATTACCTATCAGTATCAACAAAACCCTGTCAGCTTTCACAAAAGCGGACTTTTCATGAGTCTTTACAGAGAAACACGTTACACTGCATGGGTAGCGAGGCGATTAACCAATGATTCACATCCCAAGCTTTTTAGTGAGACCATGTTGAATGGCTTTCCGGAGTCAGACATTAATATCGTTCTGCTGTCAAGCCTTTGCTTTGACTAAGCAGTGGAGGAAGTAACAGGATACACCTTCTGTTGTAAACCAGTGGTCGGGACCAAGGAAAGCAGTACTTTGTTGCGTTCTATTTCGGGGAAATTCAAAGGGATCAGATTGATCCAAAAATCAAGAGGGTCTGACTAATAATCGAAATCATTAGCTATTTGGTCCAATGAGAGACGCAAGTGGTAGAAAAAAAGGTTCGAACTACATACTGTCTGCCAACTGCAGAGGATTTTACATTAAAGCTTCCCACCAACCACCGAAGAGTAAAAGGTTCGTTGTACATAAATCTGTTTCGCCCTGAGGTATATTCCGGCTTGCATTCATGAAAATGGGATTCTCATTTGATGGTTAAGGCGGTTCGGAGCTTTACTGTATCACACCAATTGGACTACAATTACCAACCTTCAAGATGCACAATCTTAAACGTGTGAAAATGCAACAATTTATTGTGGATAGCATATAACCCATAACCGTTTCGTGATTCGCATCTGACATTGAGCAAATAGAACGCCCATGGTATTCTAGATAAAGAAAACGTGACCCATTTGGGGATGCGGATCAAGTGTATAGTTATTCAGAAACACTACAATCTCCATATTATTACGCATAAGTCAGTGTAACCGGATTCGTGTGTCTCAATCGAGCACCTAATATTCCAACAATCTAATGAGAATGACAACCTGCGGAAATATTACGCATCCCTTGAGTCCAAAAGAATCTGAAACACTTACCTGTTTCGTGTTTTCTGCGTACAGTGGTCATACAACCTTTAGTAGATATGCGGGTCAAAACACCGCCTGATTGCACAGGTAGAGACAGGAAGGATCAGAATTTTGCGACTGGGCTTGGGCAACCTGGCAGTATCCCAGCCCTCGTGCTTCCTTCGGGTGGCATGGCAGCTAGGCACCAGAAGGGTGCTACAGCTGAACGCTATCTTTTTATTTACACTACTGAGCAGCCACATGAAGCTCAGAGATTGAGGGCATCATCAAGACAAGACGGCTAAAAGCTTCGAATAATGACGATACTTTAGTGGAAAGCATAGCTGGATTAATCTGAACATCACAAAGTACTCATTACAAGCATTCTTACTGTACCATAGGCCCAATCGTGACAAGCGGCACATGGCTAAAAGGAAGTGCAACTAAGATGCGTACGGCACTACCTTCTTCCAAAAACAGCCAAAAACCAGAGAGGACAGGAATCAGGACTACGCAAATTCCCCTCTACAGGGGCGAAATTAACAAAGGAAGAATGTGTGCCACTAATTAAATACCTAACTGCACTAATCAGCTTGGCTTTTTGTTAGAAGGCCGAAGAACGTGTCATCCACCTATGCGGCCCAGTAACTACTGGCGTGGTTCGAACGTAACGGTACGGAACTGTTCCCAAGAAGTGAGTCACGCAGTAGCCACATGTTGCAAGTGCGGTCGATTCCACAGCTTGTGACAGCCCCACTGTACTGTCTCAATACTTTATCATCCTACCGAAAACCGATATGATCGTGATGGTGGAAGCGAAGCGAACGACTGGAAACGGAAGGCTGTAACAGACGATAGCTGGTGACCGCTCACAAAAACTACTGAGAAATGAGAACCTGAGGTGCAAGGATTTGTACGTAATCCGAAATAGTAGTTTCAGCCTGTTCTCAGATTTCCTGAGATGACCGTTACATTACTTTGGTTCACTGCGGCTAACATACCTAATCCTTTTAAAACCACCCATCGCGGTGCTTTCATTACTTTTATGATTTTACTGGCTATCTTTCAACGTTTCCGGAGGAGGTAGGAAATTTCGAAATCCCAACCGAATTTCGTCGCACAATTGGAGTCAATCTAGTTGAAAAGCACTGTACAGCTGACTCCCTCATCTTGGGACACACCAGAAGTGCTCATCTGACAAATCTTTATGGATAGTGGAATGTACGGCCTCCAGTTTAGTAAACGAACACCACACATCGCTGATCAACAGTGGCTAGTTTACATTCAGATAGGACTATCATTCTTCGGCCAAGCGGTTCACGTCACTTGAACTGCCGTTGACCGGCTCATCGAGCAACGAATTTTTGGACAGGTCATCCTATTTGTCGGATTTTTTGTCGCAAAAGATCGACTGCAATGAATGGGGTTGGTAGGTTCAGCTACCGATCCGAAATCCGCAGGTTCGCATTGTCCTAGAGCGTAACGAAATATGCGCTGCGGCAGGCTTGAATGTGTAAAACGTGACTGATACCAGAAAAGTGATTGATCACGTATTCGAGACAAGCGAAATCACCACGGAGAAAAGATGTATGTGGTTTCATTGGTGGGAAGGGGGGGACACGAAACTATTCTAGGCTCTCCAGACGGATACTCTTTGTGGGGCTGCTGTACGTGGCAAAGCCTTTGGACATCGTCTGTGAAGGTCTTTTAGTGATACCCTGGAGCTCGTACTGCAGAGTAAAGTTGTTCGACTCTGACACAGAGCCCGTGATAGGATGATAAGCGCTTCAAACGAAAGTTTAAAGTGAACCCATCAAATTAGTGTGGATAAGGGACTGCCTGGCGTAACATTTGCCCTAATCAGGGATGGGTGGGGCATCCGGTTTCACATGCAGATAACATGAAACTATCAGGGAAAGTAGGTACTTACGGCTTGCAACGCATTTAGCGTTTTCCCATGTTTGGCGATACCTTGGAGAAGGTATTTTTCCACTGACGATGGAATTTTGGCAGCACAAGCGGCTGCATCACCTGATGTCAGAAACTCCTCTTTTGTCTGTCTGACCACGGGTAGATCTGTCCAAGACTTGGAGGGTTCTTAGAAAAATTCACGTACCGGCGAAAGTTGGAACGAGTATCAAATCGATAGCATGAGCCCACTCTCCACGCAAAAGGTGTCTGGAAATTGGAGAGGAAACTGTTTCAGTCATCGGAATTCGTAGGAGGAACAAACTATCAAGAGAGATGAACGGAAATGCAGGCAAGACACACAGCAGTCATGAATTATACCGGAGACAGTTGGGTATGAAAACTGACCGTTTGGTAATAGGACTATCACGTGTTTCGAGGGTAATGGGGGTTGTGGACAAGTCGAGGGGTACATCCGAAGGCTGATAAGATCGACTTGGCATATACAATTTTAGTGAATCCGGATAGTTGTGTGGTACTCATCACATACAAAACGGACTGTCAAAGACGGACTATAGGCGATAAATAAGCATGATAAGATTTCGAATTTTTAAATGAAATGCTTAGCGTAGGAATGACAACATGATTAGAGTCAATCGGATGTACAGCAACTGAAGTGGACTCTGGTCTTTTAGCGGCCAAACTGGATAGTGTACACGGATTCTATCTGACGACTGCCTTGCTGTATGAACAGTGATATCCTGTATGGGTACTCGAATCTGTATACACAATGGCTGGTCGCAGATTGCAGCAAACTGCCCTTTATTCGTGTGCTTAGTAGACGCTTCAGTTGGAAGATTACCGGTAAATTTACTACCACGAAAGCGTACCGCCACGTGATAGAAGTCCCTGTGAGACCATTTTGAGTACAGCATCACATATGCAAAGCAAACAGATGCAAATCGGTTTATCCTCAAATGATACCGATCTCGCCCTAAATGTATGGTTTTGTGCACAGAAAGAATAGCATATCCGTTCTGGTAGGATTTATCATCCAGTCGTTATAACTCGCCTTTTAGCGTGTCGTCGGAGCACATTGTCACTGCTGTGTCTGTTATACATATAAAACTTCTCATTTGACTCAATGGAACAAGGCTCGCAAAATCTTTGTATTGTCAACTTTAGGTCTGTGTACTGTTCTCTGAAGAGTGTCACCGTTTTCCCCAGCTACTTCAACTTCCAGAAAACTATTTCAGTTCTAGCCTTCTGACCTATGAGTGAATTTTACCGAACCGCCAGAACCTCATTGGGTTTCAGCTCAGTTGGGGCAAAGGCGACTAAGTGAACGACGCAGAGTCTATACGATAGATTTGCTCAGGAGAGAGAGATATTCAAGCTTGTCCAAGAATATATCAATCAGTAGTAGGCCAAGCATAGACCACTCTGCCTTTTCTACCGAAGCACTTTACGTGGTGTGCCGAACCACAGAAAATCATCCAGTTCATGCGGACTCGACTGCACTTTGCTGCTGGAGCGATATAAATCCAGCTGCGTAAAAGTGACCTCTGTGTGCACAAATAGTCCGCATGCGTCCTGAGGCGCAACGGGCCGGCAACAATTGTAAATCGGAACAATCACTCGATTATGTGATGGTTAGCACTGACCGTACTTTGACCCTTGGGTGGTGATTGTTAGGTAACTTACTGTGAAACAGCGAACTATATCTCCTACTTTAAAATACCCCTCCTCGTTAATCCATAAGAATCTCTACAATTTCGGATCCACTCGAACGGTGACATAAAAAACTTACTTCCCGATTTCGAAACTTTTCGATTTTGCAGAATGACCGAATCGCTGTAGACCATAGTAATTGACAAATCCATTAGATCCCCATGAATCGATTGCGTTTGTAATAATACTGTCTGGGGAAGATATTGATCTGTTTTTTAATTGTTCGAAGGGATTAGCACCTGATATACCTCAATACAATGGTGAACCGATTCCCATCTAAGTCTCCCAGAAACAGGGGAGTTGGGACGTACGAAAAATTGCCAACACGTACACCTTGGAGACGCGAGTTCAATGCTGCCAGTCGTTTAGAGTCCACGCTAAATACAATTAACAAGAGAAAAGGTGAGCGGAATCCGACAGACATACTCCTTAACCGTGACAAACTGAGTTGTGATTGCCCGTTTGTCTTTCGTACCAGCGTATGCGAAGTAACCTGGGTTCAGACTACATGCGTAAACAGGTGGCTGGAGTTACCGAAGATACGAACTTAGTAGCCGAATGGCGCTAATAGTGTCCTTGCCTTCTTTATATAACACAAAACGACAATACCGATGTCCTTTCGATAATATGTGATTCGCTCGTTTAGGGAGACGAACATCTGTGAGGAAAGATATTAAAGACACGATATCAACAACTGACCTGAGGGCTGGCGAGTTCCTGATACCAGGATATAGCTAGGGGAATCGACTTCTTCCTTGACCGTAGTACTGGAGAGTTTCGAAGAGAGAGAACGTAATGCTTTGTGAATGGCAGTCCTGGCAACCTTGGATTCCGGTGCCTGAAATTCGGAGCTATAAGTTGCACGAAGAATTTTTCTACCAATATTTTTACACAATCTCTCTTCCCAGCAAGTAGCTCTCCTAATTCCACCTTATACGTTTCAAGGATAGGATTATTCTCGTTGTTTGACTCATCGATATCCTAGAACTGGAGGTGCCAAAGCAACTCCTTACCTCTTCAGACGGAGCTGGCGGAGCAATCGGATCCAGAGTTGTGAGCGTAGCGAGTTCGCCATTCGCCAGCTCTTGTACAATGAAATCCTCCCATCTTTGAAGTAATGCCATTCGGTGTGACAGAGCTTACCGATTTTTGAGAATGCACTCGAACCCAGAACATTCAGATCGCAGATAGCCTTCAATCCCAGCATCGTCTTCTGTCAGAATTGCATTCTGTTCACTGATGTTGAGTATCAGGTCTATATCTTCAATTGCCCGTCCATCACAGCTAACTGCGTCAACAGATAATCTAGCACGTTTGCTTTCCGGTTCCGCCATACACACTGGACGATCAACGCAGCTGAAACTAGATATACCGAAGCAATGACTATGATTGTAGTAGAATGAGATAAACAGAAAAGTTTCAGTGCAAAAAACGCTAAAACTTTGGTTTAATAATAACAGCAGATGAATGGAATATTGGACAAAAACAACCCAACCAACCATCGATTCCGAAAGAACTATGAAATAAATTATGATCTGTGTGGTTTAGCGCTTTCGATGAGCTTTTACAAACTATTGATGCGGCTGCCTCAGGTAGAAGGATAAACCGGCTTCGCTTCTTATCTACGAAAGCAATTCTTTCACAAGTACATCCAGGATTGCCGGGGAGGCTGACTTCACTCTGTAGGACCGTCAACAGCCGTTAAACGCAGTATAGGCTTCCGCTCACTCAGTACACTAGATAGTAAGATAACAACCGTCCTGCTGTAACGTCTTTTCGGTGTCTAACTCCCACGTCGTCTGAAAGAGGTATGAGGGTTGGGATACTGCCAGGTTGCCTAAGCCTAGAAAGGAGCAGCCAACATGTAGACGTTAAGTGTGACCCACGAACCTTCCAATCCGTAAACCGTTGCCTTAATTACTGAGCTATCATGAGAATGGATGCATTAGGTGGCCGACCAAATCGTTGTTCGAAATACTGTGTCCAACGGTTCAAGCGTTCTCCTTTGGTTGCTGATAGCTTTGCTGACAGGGGGCCTCTGAGGGCCGGTCGAGTGAATGAAGTGGATGACGGGTAAGGCTAAGTTATCGTTTTGGCCATGAGAAATCATTCGCTATGCCCCCGAAAACCCACGGTCCTACCAGAGATGTAATTTTTGAGTAGGGTTGGATGGGTTGCACTGCAAATGGAAGTTCGAGATTTGAGTGGCACTTTGGATATCTGCGGGGGGAGGGGGAGATGGCTAGAGCGCGAATTTACTGACCGGAATGTCCGTGGTTGGAACTCAACAGCTGCATCTCCACTTCTCCCGTCTAGAATTGGGCAACCTACCAGTATCCAAGCCCTTAGGCTTTTTCCGGGTGGCATAGCAGTTAGGCACCTAAAGGGTGTTACAGCTGAACAACTTTTCATTTTTACTTCTGGATATCTGCTCCCAATGGCGGTTAACATTCGAGATCGAACTGTCCGACAGGGATTTGAAGATCAGGTTCTGATGGGTTCGTTTGAATTATGCGTCCATTAACTTCTCAATGACTATGCAAGGTGTGCGCATTTTGCGTGGACCTGAAAGACGCGGTGAAAATCAGCAGCAGACAAGTACATGGCCGGAGTCCAGGCAAGTATTCCAGAAGGAACAGCAAGAAGTTATCGACCGTCGCCACCTGTAAGTGACGGCGCTGTGGTCCAGTTGGATTCAGGGTTGAATCGTTGTTGGGCGAAAAGATGCTAAGCCATTTTCGCTGTTCCGGGAATAGGGACCGCAGGCGAACTTTGATGAGCACAAATCTGAAGTGGGCGATCTCTGTTGTCCGTGCGTCTCGTGTCTAGTTCAACAAGACCACGCAATCGAACATGGGTCGCGTTTAGTTTGACTACCTGAGTGCTCATTTCAACAAAAGTCACAACGATGTCTGAGCTTTTATCCCGTTGTAAAAGAGCAACTAGAGAGTCATAAAAACTGACTTTGGCAGATTCAAAGCTACAGTCAGTTGGGACATTGAATCTTACTTTCCCGAGAGCTTTTTTCACCGACGTTGCAAAACGAGCTGCGCAGTGGACACTATCAACGGGCATCCGCTCGATCGCTCAATACGATACCCACACCAGCAGATCCAGGTGCAGCGACCTCCAAATCACCAGAGGTGCAGGGCTCGGAGGGGGAAGCCCGACCTAGAGCTGCGACCTTGACGTGGTGGTCGGGCTTCAGTGCTGCAATGATCCCGCGGGCTACACTGGCTGGAACTTCGTTCCACAAGGTGCAAC